AATTTTAGAATAATATATAAGTGAAGAATTTTTTGTTTTACGATCTTGTTGATTGTTACTATTGAACTATGAACAAAGGAAAAAATAAAAAAACAGTCCATTTTTTAACATTTTTTCTTTACAATAACCAAAATGATCATTGACTAGATAAGATACAACGAATAATAAAAAAAATATCACAAATTCACCTCGAACTTCATTGCAATCGAAATCATCTGCTTCAACTATACTATCAACTAATTCTCCTTGAGCTTTGTTGCAATCAAAATTATCTACTTCAAACACCTTAACTATGCTATTACAATCATCTTAAACAGCGCAATCAACTACATCAACACAATCAACAAATTTAAACAATTCATTGCAGTTTATCTCTTTAACTAAAAAAAGAAAAGCTGATACAGCAACTTCTAACCTTCCTATGACTAGTACTAGCAATAAGTTTAGCAAACAATCACCTATGAGTTTTGTATGTTTAATTTTATTTTATTTTTTATTTTTTTTTTCTTAAAAAAAAATATTTAAAAATATAATGATTCTTTTATAATTTAGCTTCAAGTTATTGTTGACTCTTCGCTTTCCACTGTTCAATATGATGAAAATCTAGGTTAATATGTTTATGTCGTTAATATGTATTTTAGCTTTTAATATATTGATTAATAATATATTATTTATTACTGCCTGTTGATTCACGAACACTGTTAAAGATTTTAAGCATCAGACAAAAAAGCTTCACCCAAATTGAAAATATTACTAAAAGACAAGCTAAACTTGAATATCTTATCACTAAACAACAAAAGCAGTTTAAACAGGTTCTTGAAAAGTTGAATAATACTGAAGAAATGCATAATCCTGCTATGGGCAAAAAAAAAAAGAAAAAAAAATAAAAGAAAATGGCAGATGATTTGTTTCAAGTAGTTGCTCTTTAACTTATTAATTAGATTTCATTTTTGCATTATTCATCAATGTATTTATTACATATACTGTAGAAAGCAGTTAGAGAACTTTCATATGAATTATTTCATGATTATAAGCAAATAAGCGATGCTGAAATGAAAGTGCAACTCAAAAATAAGTTAGAAAATAATAAAGATTGTGCAGAACACTTGCACCTATTAGAAGAAAAAAGATTTTTATTTGAAAGATTGTGGCATGAAAAATTATATTCAGATATCAGTATTTTTTAATAATATTACATGTAACATATATATATAATCTTTAATAATGTTATATGTAATATATTTATATATATTAACTTTGTTTATACATAGATGTTAGCAGCAAATCGTTTGAAAAAGAGTACTATATTCATTGTGTTAAAGAAGAACTTTGGGCTACTTTTAGCATTAGTAGAATTAAACCATTTAATGAACATGATACAAAAGACAAATGAAACAATAGAAACAGGATTCTAGAAAAGCTTATAAAGATTTATATAATCTGAATGATCCAACTAATCCAAATTCTGATACTTTTCTTGCTTCAATTGTACAGTATGTTTTTGTTTCTGAAGATGAACAGACTCATATAAATGCTATCTGAACCCAAGCAATCTTGGAAATTATTTTTAATGAACATTACCTTTCTGCCAAAATTGATTCTGAAGTTATTGATATTTGGTTCCAGAAGCTTTTAAATGAAAATAATATGGTAATATATATTTATTGTGTATAGTAACCAATAAATCAGTATTAGTTACTATATACCTAATACTAATTATCCTATTAATTGCTGTTCAGTTTTTTTTTCTTTTATTTTCTTAAATTTTTTTAATTTTTAGAATATAGAAATTACTTATGATGAATCTCACGAATTAAATGAAAATAACAATAATGGAAATAACAATGATGAAAATGATGAGAATTTGTCTGAATCTTACTATGAAAGTAACTAAAGTGATAGTATCGATGAAGATTGTGATAATGATAATGACAATTATATTGAATAGGAGCAGAAAATAAGGATAATAAATAGCTATAGAAAGTTGTTTTACTTGAATAGTTATAGTTATATAACTCACTGTTTAATAAATTAGTTAATAGCATATTGTTAGTTTACTAGTTTATTAACACATTAACTAATAAATTTGCAAGTTTTTTAAACTATATTAAATAATAAAAATAGTTGTTTAATATATTATTCTGAAGTATTTAAACAGTATTAATTAATGTTTTAAGTTATTTAACACAATAAACTTTGTTGTTAAACATGCTAACTAACTAAAATTAGTTGTTTAATACTGATTGTTTCATATAGTTAGTCTGTATAGGGTTCATTTTTCTATACTATTTTAGCATTAAATAACATCATGTGTAAACTAATACTTTTCAAATGCTTTTGAAACTTTCTGATGAATAAACAACAATTAAATTACTTACCCAAAAAGTTCAGCAATAAAAGATGATAAAGACTTCAAAGATGACAAAGACTCCAAAGACAATAACAATAGCTCTAGCAACAACAGTTCAAGAACAACAACTCTGATAATACTAAAATTATACCTAGAAAAAAAAAAGAATGTTAGTTCAAAAAGACAAAAAAAAACCAAAATGAAAAAAAAGTAAAAAAAAGAAATAATAAAAAATAAAGCTAAAAATAAAAACAACAAAACAATAAAAACAAAGATCTAAATCTAAAGAGATTCTACTTGAACACCAATATTCTAATTAGACGAATCAATAATCTAAATGTAATTTTTTTCAAACTTTGAGAAAGGACATCTTGACAACCACCTATATAAAATCGATGAAAATTTTTTATTTTAATTATACATTTATCTAAAATCAAAATAAAAAATTTTATCAATTTCAGATAGCTAGTTGTTGAGATATCTTTACTTAAAGTTTGAAAAACTTTACTGTAGCTTTTGTTTTGATTGTAAGTTTTTTTTTAAACTTTGAATATGACAACCACCTATCTAAAATTAATAAAAATTTTTTTTTAGTTTAATTATACAAGCATATAAAATCAAAATAAAAAACTATTGATTTAGATAGGTGGTTTTTGAGATGTCTTTGCTCAAAGTTTGGAAAAAAACTTTGTTACAATTCCTATTTTGATAATTTTTTTTAAATTTATCTCGACTAAAATTTATAAATCTTTTTATTTTAATTATACAGGAATATAAAAAAATGTCATCAAGTTTAGATAGGTGGTTGTCAAGATATTTTTTTAATAGTCATTTAAGTTTTTTTCAAACTTTGGGCAAAGTTATCTTGATGACTATCTATCTAAAATTGACGAAAATTTTTATTGTGATTTCATATATCTGTATAATTAAAAAAAAAATTTATTAATTTTAGATGAGTTGTTATTGAGATATTTTTGTTTAAAGTTTAGAAAAAAACTTAGATAACTATAAAACAGCTGTGGCAAAGTTATCTTGACAATCACCTATCTAAAATTGATGTAAATTATTTTATTTAACTATAGAATTAAAATAATGAGATTTTCATTGATTTTAGATAGGTGGTTATCAAGACAACTTCGCTCAAAGTTTGAAAAAAATTGTATTTGGATTATTGAATTCATATTTACTTTATTTATATACCATCTCTAACATATTTGTACCATGATATTCAATAAACCTATACATGACAAAATGTATAATCACGTGTCATTTGAATATATACCACTCTATACAATGAACCTATACGTACCAAAAACCCGAACCATTATGAATATTACCGAAACCACCCCATACCACCACCCGGATCACTTTTCTTATAGAGTTTAAAAATAACAATTAAGGTAATATCGATAACTATAAATAATTATATTTTTTAGATTAATTTCTTTGATATGCTTACAAATTTTTATTAAAGAAATGGTTTTTTAATAACAAAAAATGAATCAGAAACAGACAAATTTTTGTTTAGTTAAAACAAATTTTTATTAAAAAGTATTTAAAAAATCACAAGTTTTTTTTTATAAGATAAAATTGCTTAGTAAACATCATTGAATCGCACTTTTAATTTTTAATCATCAGTAAATTGAATATTTCATATATACCGCACGCATAATTTACAAATTCTTATCGCATAAATTCTGTGTCCCTGGACAGGAAAAACGATATTAGAAGGGAGTATGACGACTAATTAAATTGCTTAGTATAGATTACAGTAAATCAAGTAATAATTCAAACTAAAAATTGCAGGTGGTGACGCATTTTCCCACTATGTACTGATTAAAAATGGGCTGATATTGCATAATATATATGAAAGTACATATGTACGTACTATACGTTGAAAAAAGTAAGTTGCGTCGGAAAAGTTTATGGGCAGAAATATGACAACTCACTACAAATACTAATATTAACTAAACTATTCAATCTAGAACACTAACTATAATCACTAAACTATAATATTGGTAAGGCTTCGATCGAGGTGTAGAAAGACTTGGTCCAAGTAATCAGGGTTATTTTGGGTTTATAGCGATAGTGTTGGATTCAGATAAGTTTCCTTTTACTTTCATTTGGTGATTTAGTCACTTTTCTTACTACTTTGTTAGTGGTTACTGCGGCTGAGTTCACATGGTCATGGGTCATTAGTATACTATTTAAGGGTAGGGTATTTGTTTACCATTTGTTTGCGCATAGCATGAAAATAAACCAATTAAAATTTAATAATCTGCAAAATTAACCAATTATAATTGTATATTTGGTTATACATACATATTTATTTGCACATTGCATGAAAAAACATGTAAACAAATATTTTACCCTTAAATCAAAACTATATATGGTCATATAATAAAATTTATTAGTGAATTTTTTTTCTAGATAGTGATTGATAAGTAGTAAATTTATAATAATTATTATAAATTTTTAAATAGATGCATATCTCTAACAGTTTGATAGTTTTGGATAAAATTTCACAAAGACTAGTATTACATCTCTACAAACAAAGCTATAGAGCCTTTTCTTTAAAAATAAAACTAAATTAAGTTCTTTTTTCTTACCATTCTTTATTAATAAAAAAAAAACACATTGTATATTACAACAGTTTTTTTTTTATATTTAAATAAAAGAAAAGATTCTATAGCTTTGTTTGTAGAGATCTAATACTAGTCTTTGTGAAATTTTATCTAAAACTATCAAACCGTTAGGGATGTGCATTTATTTAAAAATTCATAATAATTATTATAAATTTACTACCTATCAATCACTATCTAAAAAAATCATTAATAAATTTTGTTATACGTATAACCACATATAGTTTTGATTTACATAGTATACTACGCATCCCAACAGGTCATGATCCAGATCATTTACGTGTATCGATTAATAATGATGTAATCACATGTTTAATCAATTCACGGAAACAAAAACTACAATATCGACGAACGATTGTAATGATTTCAAGGGAACTTATTAGAGACAAATGCTTCTATTCGTATTTTGAAGGTTTTTGACTCCAAAAGTTTAATACTATAATCGATTTCTTTAACTTAGAACTTTGAACTTCCCAGAGTTTAATACTATAAGAGTGAATTACAAGTTAAATACACTGATTTCTTTAACTTAGAACTTTGACCTCCCAAGAGTTGTCACCTTTATTAAGTGAAAAGGTAAATCTTTTATATCTTTTATATAAATATAAAGTACATAATGACTATGTTCGCTATACTAAGTTCAACATATTCGCTATATTCACTATGTATACTATATTCAAAATGTGCAATATTCAAAATGTACACTGTGTTCACTATGTACACTATATATGAAATATACAAAATGTACATACAGTAGCTATCAAAAGTAATACCTGATTTGCAGATCATCTCACATGAGCAAATAAAATGGTTTTGTTTACCCCATACTTACGTAATTTGGGGCAATTTTTTTTTTTTCTTGCTTCTTTAACGTCTAAATACCTAGCTTTTAAAAAAAAAAAACCAACATTTTTTTGATAATGCCACGAACCCAAATGACAGAAAAAGAGAAAAGAATGATCCTTGCTCTTATTAAATTAATGAGTGCTGAGAAGGTTGCCAAACGAATTGGCTGTGACCTCACAACAGTTAGGAGGTTCTTGAATAAGTACAAAAGAACCAAAAAACCCGAAAATTTACCTAGATCTGGATGTCCCCTACCCTAAAGAAGCAAGAAAAGAAGGCTATATTAAAAAAAGCTTTGAAGAAAAGACGTGAGCTCTTGTGCAGTATTGTGAAGGATTTGAATCTTCAATGCAGTGTGTCGATAGCAGCTAGGGCCCTCCATGACTTCAGGGTTCATTCTCGTGTTGCTGCTGTAAAACCTTTTTTAACAGAAGACAATATAAATGAATATATAGATTGGTGCAAAAAAATAAGAACAGATGCATTTATAAGTAGCGGAATATCATTTTTTCTGACAAAATGAGTGTGGAAGTTGGCAAAAAATCACACCAGGTTTGAGTATGGTGTTATACAGATGAACGGTATAAACACGAGTGTTTGGTTCCAAGTTTTAAGAGTGGAAGGGTTTCAGTGATAGTGTGGTCATACTTTGCTGATGAAATCAAAGGTCCCATGGTTTTTTTTGATAAATACAAAGCTCCCAAACAAAAAATTAGTAAAAAAATTTACACCAAGGTTCTAGACGATCACCTCGTACCATTTGTTGCGGCTGTGCATTTGTTAACTGGGTCGAATCTAATTTTTCAGCAGAACAATGCCCTATTCATAAGGTGACAAATTGGCTTGAAGCAAAAAAAATCAAATATATGAAGTGGCCGTCCTGATCCCTGGATCTAAATCTG